GAATCCAGTCCAAACCAGAAAAGTGGATTCTTAGTATTGATAAATTAGGAGGAATCCATTAGATTTACCATGGGTATGTTCTTTTCTACTAGTTGTTGTTGTTTCTTTGACATTCTTTGCTTTTCTATAAGCTTAGAATGGTATTGAAAAGTAACATTTTTTTAATTTTTTGGGATATAGAAAATGACATTTACTAACTAATATTCAATCACTTATAGTCTTCAGGAAATAGCTATATCATATAATGGGGGTAAGGATTGTCTTGTCATGTTGATATTATTAATGGCAACTATCCATAAAAAGTTTTCGTCGTCGAAATTTGAGAACCCAGCAATTAACCTATTACCACCCGATTATAAATTGGATTCAATTTATGTCAATTCAGAAACTCCTTTCCCACAATTAATTGAATTTATTAAATGCTCTGCAGAATATTATCATTTAAATCAAATTATAATACAAAGTTCTATGAAGGATGGGTTTCAACAATATTTCAATGAAATCAATAAGAATGTAAAGTCAATGATTGTGGGTATCAGACATTCTGATCCATATGGTAATACTTTGAAATATGAACAAATGACTGACCATAATTGGCCAAAGTTCTTACGTATACATCCTATTTTACATTGGAATTATGTTGATATTTGGGATTTTCTTATTGGATGTAATGTGGAATATTGTGAAATGTATGATGAAGGATATACATCTCTTGGAGGTATAAACACAACAGTTCCCAAACCCCTTGTTGAAGTTACCAACAGGTAAATATTTACCGGCTTATATGTTGAGGGAGGATGCTGATAAAAATGAACGACTTGGCAGAATTAAAAAATAGATTTAGAAACACTATGTACTTTAACGTAATACAATGACTGATATAATACATTCCATTCTTAAACCAAACATGTTATACATAAAGTACCTCTATACAAATACTTCATTATTAATAATACAAACTAAAAACATATCCAAAAACATATCCAAGATCAAGATCAAGATCAAAATCAAAAAAAAAAACTCCATTCACTAAACATCATATACGTCAATTCTGAGACTTCATTTAACCAGAGGTACTACCTCTTCTTCCTGACTTACTTGTACTTGCAGCTTTAACCAAAACATCTTTAAAGTATTGTTCAGAACATGGACCAACTCCAATCTCACCCAAAGCTTTTTCTGCACTAGTATATCCGATTCGAATTGGTATATTCTGTGTAGGTTGATTTGAAGCTTTCAATTCTAAAGTTTTCAATCGCATAATCAATTCAACTTCCTTTCTATTGTTTTCATCAATTGAATTCTGCAAGTATTGTAAATATTCAACCGATTTAGTTAAAATTTGCCCCTTATTTGGTTTCCCATCTTTAGTACCTGAATTCTTAGCTGCTTCATCTTCTGGACTTTCTTCTTTTCGTGATTTATTATCTGTTTTTGATTTACTATCTTTATTATTGTTGTTGTTATTATTATTATTTTGGAAAAATTCAGGAGGAATTAAAGTTAATAATTCTTGAATCTTATCATTAATATTATCTCTACGTTTTCGTTCATTACCGCCATCTTTTTCATTATTATCTTGATTATCATCTTCGTTCTCACTACCTTCATGTGATTTTATATATGTTGAATTTCGTCTTGAATGTGGTTTGGAAATACCTCCACCACTAATAATACCAGATCCTGAATTGTTTAATGATTGTGACAATTGTTTTTTAATATCAAAAGATCCACCTAAAAGATTATCAAAATTCTCCCTTTTAATACTGATTCCAGCAATAGTATCATTATCCTGTCCTATATTAATACTTGGTACACCAGAAGTTTGAGACATGTCATTGGTATATTGTTGATTTTCGTTCGGTTGGTAATTGTTGTAATATTCACCAAATTGAGAAGACATTGTTCAAAAAAAAAAAAAAAAAATTCGTTCAATATAATGAGGACACTAATTAATGTTATTGAGATTATTGAACTCTGTAAAACTGTTGTGGTTTCTTAAACACGAATGAATAGAAGTTGTTGATGATGTTGATAATGATTGTTTGTTTCAGATTAAATTAAAGAAGAAGAAAAATGAGTACAACAAGAAATTCCTTCCTTCCTTCGTTTCCTTCAACAACAGAAAAAAATTATATAAAAAGGGTCGTGTAATATGTACAAGAATATCTTTTCACCTATTTAGACAGATAGAAAGATATTTTGAAAATGAAAAACTATAGAAATGGCTATGCTATGCTATGCTATGCTATGCTATGCTATGCTTTCACAATATTGAGTTCCACCCCCATGAAGGTGGAGTGGTACTATTGGATTCAGTAGTGGTGGTATTACTTCTTTCATTCTTCGTGGTAATAGTTCTCTCTGATCTTCGTTCCAATCTTTTCTTCATACCGTCGTATTCGGCTCTAAAATACTTCATTCTCCAATTGGCATCTGTAGTATAAATCTTATCAGATTGTTTATTGAAAATCAGCATACCATTACTTAAATTGTTATATTCGGAAATAACAATTCTCAAGATATTCAAAGTAGTCATATCACCAGGAAATCCCAAGAATTTCATACGACTATACCATGTTTGAAATGGGTGCAAATTAATAATCCCATAATTGATCCATACTAAACGTAATGCCACATTAAATGCTTCTTGATTGGCAGCTATAATATATAAATTAGGATCTTTCTCTAATAAATCAAAAAGTGTTAATGCCAATTGACCATTGTGAAACTTGAATCCCAAATTGGTTATAATATGGGTGAATATAATAGGAACAGTTAAAATGTTTAAATTAGGATCATATGGCCCTGATAATGAACTTTTCTCAATCAGATCAATACAACTTTGATGACTTTCAGTCCATGCATGTCTATTTGAACCTTTAAATAATTCATTTAAAAAAATCTCTTCATTTACTATTCTAACACTTTTTGAATTTTTATCAGCTATTTGAGTCTTCATAGTTGCAATAGTTATACCTTCTTGAAAATTTTTAAATAATTTCAAACTATATTTAAATAAATCTTGTGAATTTTTAAATGAATCCAAATATTTTAAAGTTGGACCTAATGCATTTTTCGTTTTAGTAAATAATTCATTTTTAATTTCATCGGGAACAACATTAATACCAGGTTTATTTGTTGAATTATTAGATATTGATGATGACAGTTTTCTAAATGATCCATATTTGGTAAATAAATTTTGAAAATATTCAACTTGTTCTACTCTAGCAGTAGGTACAGGTTTAGGAGTTTCATTATCTTTATATGCATTTTTAATAAATTCACTTAATTTTTGAAAATCAATTTGTCCATTTTCATCAGATGAATCTAAAATATTACTAAATTTTGGTTGATTTTCTGTTTCTGTATTATGTCGATTTTCTATTTCAACAATATCATTAAGCGATGGTCTTGGTTTTGATTCTTGGTCCAAATGTTGAGTTGATGACATATGGATCGCTCTAGAACTCAGCAAGTGATTACATTCAATGTGTTGATTCACAAACAGTATACCACGAGTTGCTCTTGAAACAACAGAACGGGGTAGTCTCATGTCTTGTTGTTGTTGATGGTAATACTATCCTTCTTCTTCTTCTTCTTCTTCTGAAACCTGAATTTTTTTTTTCAATTTTTTTTTTTCTTTCTTCTTGCCAATGGTGTATCCATAAGATCACACAAAATCCAGGTATCAAATATGCATCATCCTATGTGTTTCTAATAAAATACCATCCCTTGTTTGTTCTTATTTGTTAAAAGAAGATAAAAACCAGAATGTCAGGAAATGACGTACGATCAACATTTTTCAAAAAAAAAAAAATAAACACTTGAAACAAAATAAACTAACCACACTGTATTTACATTTACATTTACATTTACATTTACATTTACATTCCCAGAGATCGGCAATCAGATTAGGTGTCATTTTGTCTTTTTTGGGAAACTTGAACCATATTTATACTGGCCCAACAATCCCCCTTTTTAAAAAAAGGACATCTTTTGAGTTATTTCTATTAGTCAAGTTGTTTAATTTTGAATACCGTTTATTATTACAATGAGTGACATTGCTTCAACTATTAAAACCACTGAATTGAATGAAGAACAAGCTGCAAAATTACAAACTTTAGTTGAAGAAATTCCTAATATTCTTGCTAGTACTAATAATCCAGAATATGATGAAATATTTGGTTATCGTATTAATAAAACAAATTTAGAATATGTTGATGAAAATATTCGTAATGAAATATTACTTAAATTTTTAATTGCTGATAAATATGATATTGAATTAACAAAATCAAGATTAATTAAAACATTTAATTGGAGAAATGAATTTCAACCATTAAAAGCAGGATTTGAAGAAATATTTCCTGATGAATTAAATTTATTAGGTTCAATTACAAAATTTCCAAACTCTAATACGAATAATAATCTTCTTCTTCTTGGTATAACTACTTGGAATTTATATGGAAATATTAAAAATCCTAAAATTTTATTTGAAAAATTTGGTCAAGAAGAAGATAATCAAAATAAATTACCTGGTAATTTATTTTTAAGATGGAGAATTGGATTAATGGAACAATCTTTACAATTGATTGATTTACGAATCCCCC